AAGCATCTACGCATGTTATTTTTAAGCTATAGAGTAATCACAGGGCATTGAAACATATTCTGAACCGCATTTTTTTTTTTGCACTGTAGATGAGAATAATATTTCTTTGCAAAAAACAAAACAATTCCAAGTAATATTCATCTTAGATTTATAATAATTTGTGTGTCTGGATAAGTCTGAATACTCCCCTCCCCCCACCCGCGCAAACTAAACTGTATCCTTCTCTGCAATGAAAATCGCTTCAATTCACACCAGTACTTTGCCGTACTTAGTGCCCCCCAACACTTATACCCCCATGGAACTAAGTATACGCTGTTGCCAAATGTACTAGAGCCCATTTTACTTCTGTGTGTGTGAGTGCATAATGAAAAGTATTTTGTTGTGATTACTGTGTGAAGAGCCCCATGTCAGAAATCAATGATCTTACAGTTTTCCTTGAGTGAATATATTACTATTTTGAATGTAATTTCATTAGGTTTTGCATGTTAAATGCAGTTCAGTCCAATATACGAATTTAAGACCAGCAGTGGCGGCCCAGCCCAAAGGCGCTAGGGCCGCCGCCTCCCCCTCTTCCCTACATGTTTGATTGTCATTAAAAATTAAAAATAAATATAAAAATATCTTTTTTTTATTTTTATTTTTTATTTTTAAAGAATAAGGGTAAATAATTATAATATTGATCAGTAAAATGATATAATCTACAATAAAATTCGGTAAAATAGTTTTTGTACGATGTCTGGAAAATGTATCTGGATAAGTCACATAGTTCCACTGCCTGGCCGCAGCGTATACATTACCCTCTTCTCGTCCGGGCGGTAGAAAGGGCCCTCAGCCAGAGCAGCTGGCAGCCAACAAGCGACTGTTGTATCGTAAACTATGCTGCCGAAACATAATTTTAGCCAATCAAGCGTCGTCAATCGATGCTCAAAGTGGCGCCCTTTCAGCCGCCCTGCTTGTGTCTGTGAGTTGTTAGACCTCGTATCCAATGGTGATGCTACAAGTAGGGGATGGCTGCAGGTCTAGACTCCGGTGCTAGTGGATCGCCGGAGCTGTAGATTAACATTTGCATGCTTATTGTAGTTGTAAGGGCAATGCCTGTGGCACCATGGAGCATATGTGTGGGCTGGACCTGTATTTTACAGGAAAGGAGTGATCAGAGGGTCGAGTTGTCGATTCTTGTTCAGTTTTCATCTTCCGCACCCCGTCAGACTTTGAGTTGCGCGCGCAGCTAAAGAGACGAGCTACCACGGAAACCAAACAATGGTGTAGCTGTATTAAAGTCCGAGTGGAAACAGTCGTGAGTAAATCTGATTTAGTCAGAAATCGGGAGTCTCCCGCGAAGATCGGGAGGGTTGGCAGGTATAACACACACACACACACACACACACACACACACACACACACACACACACACACACACACACACACACACACACACACACACACACACACACACACGTATTTAGTCTGTCTCCTGATTTTAAATGCCCTCAGTATGGTTTTGTCACCATTTCCATAGCCCCACCAAATATATTTTCCACCAGCCGCCACTGCTTGTCATGATATGTTTGCAGTGAAATGACTGAATTGCTGATGAAACTAGTCATCTGCAAGCATATGGCCTCATGGACTGTGATGAGAAATGTTGTAGGGCTTGGTGTATGTGCCTGTTTTTTTTTTCTTTCTCTAAAGCTATCAGATGCCAATACATAATTATTTAATCATTATTGATTTGCTTACCCTCAGCCAGCTGTTTCCACAGAAAGTCCATTTCGCTTTCAAGAGCTAATATTTTGTCCTTTGCAGCATCTAGCTTTATTTTTAAGGCATTATTATCTCTGTTTCTGCGCTTCATAGCTAGTATGGCTCTGGGAGCGGCAGAACAATCTGTAATAACAAAAACGGCAAAAATATAACATTATCTTTTCTGTAGTTATTCCACAAATAGTATGTATAGGCAGATTGTGGTTACATGCCTTTGTTTAGTGTTTTCAAAAAATGTACAATAAAATGTCAAAATTAGAGATCTAGGACCGCCTGTATTGTCGTAAAGTTGCAGACATGTCATTGATCACATTTAATACAGACTGTTGAACAGTGGCGGCTGGTGGAAAATATTTTTGGTGGGGCTATGGAAATGGTGTCAAAAACATGTGTGTGTGTGTGTGTGTCAGTCATACTTGCCAACCCTCCCGATTTTTGCGGGAGACTCCCGCATTTCTCCCGATTTCTGACAAAATCAGATTTACTCACGACTGTTTCCACTCGGACTTTAATACAGCTACACCATTGTTTGGTTTCCATGGTAGCGCGTCTCTTTAGCAGCGCGCGCAACTCAAAGTCTGAGAGGGTGAGGAAGATGAAAACTGAACAAGAATCGACAACTCGACCCTCTGATCACTCCTTTCCTGTAAAATACAGGTCCAGCCCACACATATGCTCCATTGTGCCACAGGCATTGCCCTTACAACTACAATAAGCATGCAAATGTTAATCTACAGCTCCGGCGATCCACTAGCACCGGAGTCTACACCTGCAGACACTACTGTAGCGTCACCTTGGATACGAGTCTAAACAACTCACAGACACACAGGCCAGGGCGCTGAAAGGGCGCCCTTTGAGCATCAGATCTGACGACGCTGATTGGCTGAAATTATGTTTCGGCGGCATAGTTTACAGATAGCAACAGTGAGCTTGTTGGCTGCAGCTGCTCTGGCTGAGGGCTCCTTTCTACCGCCCGGACGAGAGAGGGTAATGATACACGCTGCGGCCAGGCAGGAAACATGTGACTTATCAGTAACTTTAGACATCGTAAAACAATTTTAAACGAGATTTTATTGTAGATTATATATTTTACTGATACCAACTATATAATATTTGCCTTGTTCTTTAAAAATAAAAATAAAAAATATTATTTTTTGGAAATATATTTTTTTATTTATTTTTAATTTGTAATGACAATCAAACATGTGGGAAGAGGGGGGGCGGCGCCCCTAGCGCCCCTATGGGCCGGCCGCCACTGCTCAACACCCATATGAAACAGAACTGTAAACAGATTTTCTGTTTCTTTATAAATATTTTACAAATCACTCCCGTTTTAAAACAAACCGTTTGAGACCCACTGAGATAACTAGACTAAAGTTAATTATCTAAACACTGAGAGAGTCCTTTACTTCAAAAAAAAAAAGAAAGAAAAAAAGCTCCTTATATCCGTTAGCTAGCACCAGATGCTAACCACAACGATCTCCAGTAGATCACACACACACACACACACACACACGCACACACGCTACTCGGCCTATTATGTGCAGAATCCCTTTAAGGAGTAAAAAACGATCAATTTTTGACTTTGCTGTTAGCAAATAATTTGGCGCCCTAGCTAACAGGAAGTCACTCAAGTGTCACAAAGTAGACAGTGCAAGGGTCACTGCAGCTTCTCAGTGTCCACTGAAGGATTCCTAAATTAAGTTTCATCATTTCATAACATCAGACAGTGAGCACACACATTGAATGAGATCAATTTCTTCATTTTTTTGTAATTATTATTAAGGCTTTTAGGCTATTATTTGATAGTGATGTTGGAGATAGAAAGTAAAGAGGAATTATGTGCAGCCAAATGTTGAACCAGGGACTACACACTATTTATCTAGCTCTACTGTATGGGTATTATCTCTCATGTATGTAAGTGTTTGCCGCATATGTATTTACTCATCCACACAGTTGGCAATTGGAAAATATATACGTTTTTACAGATGGAGACCGATGTAACAACGATCTACTCAACAGCTTCAAATTGGCTTTCTTACTATTGACTTTGTGTACAAGACATTATAAATGATATAAGAATTGATCACAGTGGTAGAACATGCACATTTATAATAATAATAATAATACATGCTATTTACAGTATAGAACACTTTTCCCGGCGCTCAATAACCCTTTATAAGTAAATAAACATTTCTCTTCTGCTCTCTCTACATGTTGTAGATTATGCAGCTGCAGTTCCAACATTGATCTCATTCAATTTCATGAGGTTTGACCTTTACGTAGAAGTAAACCAGGTGCTTATTTAGACATGACACCAACAAGTTCAACTAACATCAGATCAATGTAAAGGAGAGCGTGTTTGTAAGGGGCTGTTATTGCTCAGTATAATTAGCGTTCAAATTGTTCTTAAACTGTCTTACATAGAAATGATGTGATTGTGCTTTCACCCAGAGGAAATGATATGAAGACCCTTTCATGGATACAATACACCACAGTGAGTGTGTGTGTGTGTGTGTGTGTGTGTGTGTGTGTGTGTGTGTGTGTGTGTGTGTGTGTGTGTGTGTGTGTGTGTGTTGTCCCACCTGAGAGCTCTGAGAGGGGGGATGGCTGTGACTTTGCCCACAGGTTTGGGTCCCACTGCCGGGGGCATCATGACCAGCAGGCCTGTGGAGGGTTTGGAGAGCGGGGTCCGGGCTGGACTCACTGTGGGGGAGGCTCCTCTGGCCGGGCTGAGGGGGAGGGGCCTCTGAGGGGGGAATGGGGACTGTCTGGGTTGCAGCTCAGACACTAACTAGAAGACAGTAGGAGAAATATCGATTATTGACATTTTGATGTACCAATGGGATTAAGTGTCATGGTATTATATATTATGTGACCAAAATTAAGCAAAAAATACAAGAACAGAAGTAAAAAGGAAAGAGAAAACACAAAAGTTAAAAAAATCAAAACAGACAGGGTTATCAATAAGTGGGTACAGCGCCAATACGCTACAGAACACTAAATCCCTGGCACATGCACCCAGCAGGGAGAGAACTCCAATGCATCCAGGCTGCTTGGGAATCTGTTCAGCTAGCTGGTAAGAGGAGCTTCAGTCCCACTCCACACAGGTAAAGTGGATTCAAACTACCACTACAGAAGAGATCAGATCACAGAGTGAACTCGCATGAAATATTGGATATTTGACTAAAACAAAACATAGCGATATGACTTTCAAACTCGGCTTTAAAGGTGTTTTGCGCTTCAAAGAGAAGCACTGATGAGAGGATAAATCAATGAGAAAGCAATCAGATAAAAAAACCCACAAATGTTATTAATTGTTTCTTCAGATGAAATCATGTAAGGAATTCTCTGGCAGAGAAAGTCCAGCGGTTTCTCATCAGCTCTGTGAACCTGCTAATAGTTCTGAATTACTTTTACAAATGATACATTTAGCTGCAGTCAGGAGCAATAATATGTTTTTTACAGCATGGCTTTTCGTATAAAAGGTGGCACATCTGCAGCCCCCTACCCCACACTTTTTAAACAGGAAGTATATGTTACCATGGATTCAGTGAGTAATTCCCAGGGCTACAACTTAAACCCTGTTATTTTTAAGCTTTTTTACAAATGTGTATGCTGCATTCGCTATTAGCTGTTCCTTTGTGCAGTGTTTGTGTGTTGAACTATCCCTAGATCATTTTGATACTAAAATAAGTGTAATAACTGATGATTTCAGACAATTTCTTGAGTAGTTGTATCAGTCTCAACAGGGATTCACTACAGCTGTTGAATACTCTCTAAATGGAAAAACATGGCATCTTTGGAGACAAAACTATTTAACACAAGTGAATTTGGAGTGAGCGAACGACTATGCAGTTGGAGCTCTATTTATATGTTGATCAGAAATGTGGCATTTAAGCCCTTTTCAGACTAGATATATTTGTCTAGCAGAGGTGAAGTGATTTTAACATGTTTCCCTAGAAATAAAAGCCATCAGGAGAGGAACACCACATCCTTCTCTAGATATGTAAGAATGTGGTTGTTGTACTGTCAGCTACAGGTAAGTAATGCTTTTCTCTCTTGGCTGGTGCTGCTGAATGTCCATTTCTATTACAGACCACATCCTGTCATTTTGCGATGGTTAAATGCCTTCCGAACCACTGACATAAATTATAGAGGAAGACACTGAAGCCCAAATGGAGCTTAAATCATATTATCCTATAAATATTTTCTAATTGCTCCAGTGTCAATCTGACCTAGCTGAATCCATTGTACAGAAGGCAATTTATAATCTACTGCCTTGTAGAAATACCTGAGCTCACAAAACATAGTCTGCTTTTAAGAGGCTCTTTCTGTACTGTAAGTACTCTCACTAAAATGTAGATGTATTTAACAACTGTCTGGCTGCCTGACAGCTCCCGGTGATGTCCTGTTGCTGTTGGTATTTTATTTAGTTTTTTTTACATTAAACCACGATAAATGGGAATGCCTATATAGTAGTTTTCCCTACACTTAATATCAAAAGTCAGCCTCTCGCTTAATGATAGAAGAGGTAAGAATCGGTTTCCTAAAATATATATTCTTAGTGGCTTCCTGTCTATAAGTTGTTCCATTTCTCAATTCTATTCTGGCCTTTACATTAGGTAGTATGCATTTTAGGTTATAGTTTTATAATTCAATTGTATTTGTTCACAGCTAAGAAACGGGGGAAAGATGGCCTCACCAGTGGAGATCGTGTTGGGTTCAGGGGCAGGGGTTTCTTGGGTGGGCTGAGTCTCTGTGGGGTTGCAGGGGATTTAGGTGGGGCCGTTGGGGGCTTGCTGGCTGGCAGAGGCGGGCGAACCACCTTGACATCCCGGGAACCGCCCATTGGGGACTGACTGGGTCTCAGAGGTCGCACTATGTTCACTGGCTGGGTGCCATTAGACACAGGGCCCGGTCTGAGAGGCAGGACCTCTTTGCTGGTGTGAGGAAGCTAGGACCACAACAGAGACAACAACACAACAACATCAACTTGCAAAATCTTGGAAAAGCTTGTCTACATCCAATGGACAGAAAACATAAACAACATTTAATTTATAAGCTCTAGTCTGGTTCCAGAGTGAGGTATGGTTCTGAAACGGCTCTGGTTAGATATGAAATAACCCCGTGTGGCAGTGGGGTTTGGTTAGTGCTCCGGCTGCTGGAATGTTGGAGTGGCTCAGCCGGAGACCAGACAGCTGGACAAGGATCAGGTAAACAGTTAAACAATAGTAGTATGTGGGTAACCTGGTTCTTGTCCCTACAGTAGGCAGTTGAGAATTGTGAATTGTAAAAGTAATTCTTACTTTTGGACTTTAATTAAGCCTTGATATTGTTTGATCACAACATTATTATTGGCTCCCTAAGATGGTTTTATTCTATGAGCCAATGAGATCTCTCACCATTTGTCTGATTCAAAGCCTCTCCCCACAAAGAACATTCCATACGGAGTGCCTCAAGGCTCTTTCCTGGGTCCACTACTTTCTCGACATATATTAGAACTAGGAGTCATTGTGGATGAGCACAATATTGATTTTCTTAGCAATGCAGATGAAACGCAATTCCATATAATGGAGTTGTTGTTCCTGGTGATCTCTGTGCACTTTAATGAATCTTTGACATCAATTTATGGACTAGAAAAGTTTCCTTAAACTACATTTAGAAAAAAGAAAAGACCATTGTAACTGGTCTGAATGAGCAAAGAGAGAAACTGTGCCTGCTATTTACAACGCGTAATATGAAAATTACACGTCAGACCAGAAATGTAAAATTCTTACCATCAACTCTGTCTCACCTAGAATTTAGTTTAGCTGATTTTTACTACTACTACCTTATTTGTTTACCTTATTAAATGTTATATTTATGTTAAGGATTTTACTTACTTCTTATTCTATATTTAATGTTTTTACTTTCTCTCTCTTTTCTATCCAGCAACCATATGTGTTAAAATTTAAATGTTGTGCATCTCACTTTATTACCTCGTTAAGTGTTTCTGTCATTAGTTATCATTACTAGCTGTTACGCTTACTTTACAGTAAATACATCTGAGCTTAATTTTGTTTATTAATATGTCGGATGAATTTGTACTCTTGTTATTCTTATGAAGGTGTATTCATTTTATTACCTTCTCCCTCATATTCTTTGTACCTCTCTGTACTTGTACTCTAACCTTCACCTACTAACCAATCAATTTGAAATACATATTATAGCAAGAAGGAAAAAGGGACATGAGGAAATGATGCTGAAGGCACATTGAACGAGAGTATTGCTGTGAACACTGGAGGGGGCAGCCTCTAAGTGGTAACACAATATAACAAGTTGCTGTAAAATGAGGCAATTTAATATGGAGGTCAAGGTCTATTATTCACTAAAAGACACACACACACACACACACACACACACACACACACACAACACACACACACACACACACTACTCTCTCTCTCTCTACTACACACACGACACACACACACACTCACACACACACACACACACACACACACACACACACACACACACACACACACACACACACACACACACACACACACACACACACACACACACACACTACTACTACTACTACTACTACTACTACTACGTACGTACGTAACGTAACGTAACGTAACTACTAACAACAACACACACACACCACCACCACCACACACACACACACACACACACACACACACACACACACACACACACACACACACACACACACACACACTCTCTCTCTCTACTACAACACACACACACACACACACACACACACACACACACACACACACACACACACACACACAACACTACTCACTCTACTACACAACACGACACACACACACACACACACACACACACACACACACACACACACACACACACACACACACACACACACACACACACACACACACACACACACACAACTTACCCCCTTGTGGCTGCTAGCTTTGTTGATTGGTCCGACCACCTTCAGGTGAAAGGCAGGATTCAGATGGCCGTTTTTCCCTTTCTCCACCGATGCCTCCATCCTGAGCAGAGAAATGAGGACATGAGGAAAATAAAACACAAGAAACCATCGCTCTTCTTAATGTGGCATTGATTTCAGGGCCCCGAGTGGGAAAATAGAAAGCAGAGAAGTCTATAGGAAGTTTATCATCCAGGAAGATGTGAGAGAAAATAAGGAGGTCAAAGAGGAAGCTGATAGTTTCACCTCATCAACTTGATAGCTATTAGCAAACAGACATTTTTGTTGGAGTGTTTGTGTCCATTGAATGTCCACTTGTTTCCCTTTTATCTCGGTTTTGGTCTCCACCGACTCCTAAGGAACATATGTGTCTTATTATCTAATAAATTCTCCACTATGTTAACCAGCTACTATCTAACTGTGTTCACTGCTGTTACAGGTAGTGTACAGTGGGTTTATTAGAGATGTTTACTGACAAACAGATGCCTGCTAGTGATGACGAGCTGTGAGACTGAACCAAACCGTAGAGCCATAAAACCAAAGCAATGAACAAGAGGTTAAAGGGGAACTGCAGCATTAATGTGCACTGGATTCCTCAAATTTCATACAATAGAGTGGATTAGTGCAGCTCTACAATTCAAAATGTCACAAGCTTACTAGCTATGTATATGTTCCTTCCACCATACAGTACATGTGTGGACATGTGATCTAGTAGAACAACACAGTAAACTACAGTCAACTTAAATATAAGAAGCTTCACAAAGGAAGGATTTATTGCAGGAATTAATGTGAATGAACTGGCTCTTAGCTGATTGGACAGCTTTCCAAGCATACTGGATATACTGTATGTGTGCTTAGAAAGGCCTTTTATCAGCTTGAGACACCCACTGTTCCACTGTTGAACTGTAAATGAACCCAAAGGATTGGCCATGGAACAAAACCAAAAAAAGGTTTCCAGAGCAGTTAGTGCCCTTAACCCTTGTGCCCTCCTCAGGCATTTTTGTACATTTTTCCTGACTTTTTTTTTTGATTTGGTGATCATTTCAGCTGTGTTACAGCTTTTGGCATGGATTTTTGCAAGAAGTCTTCTTTTGAGTCAAATTTTTGAAATCCATTGTCGTTTAGTCTTACATGTTTTGTGTACTCTCGTGATGCATTTTGCACCCTCTGGACCCCTTCGTGGCAAAAATGTACACTCTCATAATAACTGCTATTAAATCATCATACATCAATATTTTTTAAAACTTTTTTTTCCATGAATCACTTGAACAACTTCTAACGTGCTGAAAACTACCAAACATTCAATAAGTTTCAGGATTTTAACCCTTTAAATGCCTGTTTCATTATTTGAATTATGTTTGTATTACTATGTCTGTTATAGTTTTCACACACAGTCACAAAACGCACCCCGGTGCTTGTATGACTGTTCTGAGTTTTCTTAGTGTCCGAAATGTTTTAGAAACGGTATCCGAAGAGGCGGCTGTTGGTCGGTACTTATATTGTTAGGTGGTTGTTATTCGCTGTGGGCCAGTATTAACCCGTATTAAAGTCGGTCTTTTTCAGTCTCTTTAGTAAATCCTTTCTAGGAATAACATTAATATCTCCTCTCAGATATGACTGGTGAGCGGTAGACGTGACGCACTCTCGCCGGGTTTCGAGCTGTGGCGAGTCGTAAGTTTCGACGTTCCTCTCTACTGTTCGCTATCAACGACTGTATAGATTTTAAGGGCGAGCTTTGGACATCGATGAGAGGCGTAGCGGTTCAGTGCACCTCTCAATTTTATTCTCGTAGACTCCATTTTTCAAGCCATTTCCGCGACCTGATGTGGTCCATGGCTCCGGGTACAGAGTTACTGCTTCTGCCTTAGGTCGGAGGAAGAAGCTTCACTTCTTGGGAAAGTTAATGTTTTCCGGAAACACAGTGACTAGACCGGCAATAGATGACGGCGTGTTGGACGCGGCCGCGTCACCCGTAGCGCGCGAGACTCCGAGTCCGCTCGGCTGTTAGTGGCTGTCGTCCAATAAGTCTAAGGGGGTGCGGGCGAGCGGCGCGTGCTCGTCCGCTCGTCCCGCGCCTGCCCGGACCTTTCGAAGGCAGTGGCCCGCTACTTCCAGTGGTTGTCCGTAAACTGTCCTCAGTTTCTATCGCCCTACTACCTTCTGTGTCTCGCTCCGGTGCCGCCTCCATAAGGTGTCAGGAATTCGGTATGGCCGTTTTGGGGTAAGGGAGGAGAGAGGTGAGCGGGTGGTTTTTTTGTTATGTGTAGAGCCGCAAAAGGCGCCGCCGCCACCGCAAATCCGCCCCCTCAAAACCCGCCTCGGCCCCACGCCGTGTTCATTCCACCCATGAGTTATTCTTTGCCCCCCCCCCCGCAGAAATACAGGTGCTAGGTTTAAGGGTTGTCCTAAATTAAGCTTTTGCTTCTAGTCTTCACATGATTATCTCTCAAAACTGTAAATCCCGTTTTTCACTGTGTTTGTCGTGTTTTGTGTGTGGGTGCTCTATGTTCTGCCGTCCGGGGTGTAGTGGTGACGCCGCCGTAGAACCAGGGGAGGTTGTTTTTTCACTTTCTATACCTACATACTAACTAAAATTTATCGTTCCAACAAAACCCACACATGTAAAAACGTGTGCTTCCACAGTCTCCAATCATAGGACCTGGATGCAATTTTTTATTTACGGTCCCAGGTGTTGAGTAAAACAAACGGATTGAAACTGTGTTAGTCTAAATTATTGTGTTTAAAGGGTAGGGAGATGATAAATAATATAACTTTGTGTTAAGTAAAGAAACACCAAAAAAATTTNCCACACTTAGAGCAGAGACATCTAGCCTGTAAAAGCGGACAAAAGTGAGCGGTGAGGACCAGCTCGCTGCTGCACAAATGTCTTGGATGGAAACACCCTTGAACAAGGGTGTTTCCATCCAAGACATTTGTGCAGCAGCGAGCTGGTCCTCACCGCTCACTTTTGTCCGCTTTTACAGGCTAGATGTCTCTGCTCTAAGTGTGGTCAGCGCAGTGCTGGGCCCCTGTGTTGAGACAGGGTTCTACCTGTTAAGTTCTGGTTGTTTTGGTGATTTTCGAGATAAGCATGTCTAGCAATACGGGAGTTTCAATATCCCATAGTGAGACATCGAACGGAGTGTTACGAATGAGAACTATAGGTTACTTACGTAACCCCAGTTCTCAGAGTAACATGAAGTGAGATGTCTCACCAGACGGCCCTTCTTGCAAAGGCGAAGCGAGAAAAGGTGCTTACTTTGAATGACGCTACGACGTAGAGCAAGCTACTTAAAGGGTGGGTGGATTCCCTGACGTAGACGTCAAGATCACCTGCCAATCAGGATTGGCGGAATGAGATTGATGCTTCTGTTTGCATACGCGTTGAGGCGCATCCCATAGTGAGACATCTCACTTCATGTTACTCTGAGAACTGGGGTTACGTAAGTAACCTATAGTTTTTTTTGTATAAACCAAAAGGCAAATAGCTGGTCACTTCCAGTGAGCCAACTTGGGCTCTTTTCGAACTCAACTGTACAACCCTAAACTGGTTTTATTAAATGGAAAAATATCTTTGTTTTACATTCTCAGTTTTCTGGGTTAAATAAATGATTTTCCGACACCTTCATATCACTCATATTGTCCTCTGCTTCATTTTCCTCATTGGAAAACCACAGATCTTCACATGTGCACACAAAAACACAGAATCTGCAGTCAAATAAACTCAGACTGTGAGTTCACCAGATTAACATCTAGACTTGACTAAAGAACATTAAGACTTTTGCTTTTGCAAGTGCACATTTAAATACATTTTAATACATTTAATTTGGTTTGAATATAAACAAAGGTGAAGTCAAATATTCCTGGGCAGGGAATTATTTATTTATTTATTTTTATTATTAATTTGAATACCCATTTTTTCTAATAAAATCTATTAGTAATATAATAATAAATCTGTATGCTTTAATGAATTTATATTGTAAACATCACGCAATGAAGAATGCTTTTTCAAACATGGTATTAACATTTTAATGTAGATTTATTATTATATTACTAATAGATTTTATTAGAAAAAATGGGTATTCAAATTCAAATGAATAATTAAAAAAAATAGATGAATAGTTAAATCTAGATGTAAATCTGGTGAATTCACAGTCTGAGTTTATTTGACTGCAGACTTTGTGTTTTTGTTCTTTGATGTTTATTTCCAAGTGTGCACATGTGAAGCTCTGTCGGCCAGAACTAATTGTGGCCCTCTCAGCTTATTCTGCACATTGTCTCCCACAAAGCCATTCCTTAGCATCAAACTGCATAGATTTCACACATACTCAAACATGGAAACATTTTAAAAGCTCCACTACACTGATGGAAGCTGAGCCAATTTCATCACAGGCAGGGAAACAAGATGGATGGAGGGTACAGTAAGTACATTTTCTCACAGATGTTTGCCCTGGTGTGTCTGTCAGGATCCGGGAATATTAGGACTCAAATGCAGTTTTAAAAAAAGACAAAAAAGGTAAAATAACAAAAGACGAGCGTTATTTACCAAAAAAGCTGTAGACGATAGCAAACAAGAAATAACTTAACATCGAGAAATCCGTAGCATGAAAGAACCTATTGTAACATCCATAAATCCGTAGCCTGAGCATCCAAACAAAACCGACAGTCAAACATGGAGGGTGACAGGAAAGGTAAAGAAAAACAATGAACCGACAGGGGAACACAGGAAGAGACAAGACTAAATACAGGGAGGGGTAATCAAGGAAGAAGAAACAGCTGTGCAAAGGAGGTAGAAACACAAGGGCAACAGGTGAACACAATCAGACAAACCATGGAAACTAACGACAGGGAGGACATTACAGTAAAATAAACCCAAACCTAGACATACAAAACTAAAACCATGACATTACATACAAATCGTGACAGGAAAGGTAAATCCCACTCCAGCGAACTGACAATGAAGCTATTTACCCTATGCCGAAAAACTAAAAAACTAAATAAACATAAGCACTAGTGCTGCATTACGAAATTACATATTTTGAATTAGATACAGGAACATGNGCTGATGTTCAGGTGTATATCAGTATGTAGTGTCTCTACTTTAAAGAGTCCTCTCCTGCTGATGTTCAGGTGTATATCAGTATGTAGTGTCTCTACTTTAAAGAGTCCTCTCCTGCTGATGTTCAGGTGTATATCAGTATGTAGTGTCTCTACTTTAAAGAGTCCTCTCCTGCTGATGTTCAGGTGTATATCAGTATGTAGTGTCTCTACTTTAAAGAGTCCTCTCCTGCTGATGTTCAGGTGTATATCAGTGTGTAGTGTCTCTACTTTAAAGAGTCCTCTCCTGCTGATGTTCAGGTGTATATCAGTATGTAGTAACTCTACTTTAAAGAGTCCTCTCCTGCTGATGTTCAGGTGTATATCAGTATGTAGTGTCTCTACTTTAAAGAGTCCTCTCCTGCTGATGTTCAGGTGTATATCAGTATGTAGTGTCTCTACTTTAAAGAGTCCTCTCCTGCTGATGTTCAGGTGTATATCAGTATGTAGTGTCTCTACTGTGTCATGTCTTCATGCTTTAATGTTCAAAAAGCTCTTTTTCACCCTCTGTCTGAAACCAGAGCCAAGTCTGCTCTGATTGGTTAGCTGGCCGGCTCTGTTGTGATAGGTCAACCGTTTAGAGATGTCCCGCCCCTTAGCCTATCACGTACAATGTGTTAAAGCCAAAAGAAGTGCGAGCGTTATAAAGTGATGTCACTATGTTCAAGAAGTAAACAATGGAGTCCAATGGAGGCGTTTCAGAGAGGCAAAACCTATAAAACACACTACAGGAAAGGGAAACCCCAAAAAACACAAGGGACTCATTAAGTATAACATTTAGGTCTGACTCGTTCTTAATAGCTTTTTAATGTGAGCAATAACACAAGGCAAGGTATCCTGATATAAGGTCCAGGACGGCAGAGATGACATTTTCTGAAAGCTTGTAAAACAGAAGCATATTGGAATGATGATAAAATCAAATTGTAATGCATGTGCACAACTCGATATGGTTCCATTGTCATGTCATTGTCAAATACATATCAAATCAGATATAGCCCCCACCCCCACCCCAGCATAAAAGAAATAAATAAAAAAAAAGAAGAAATTAGAGTAAATTAGATAAGTATACACATTCTAATAATACACAACAAAATAAAATTATACAAAGCAAACGACAAACAAAATTACAAAAATATATACAACTACAATATTGGTTTAGAAATTGAAGTAGCCCAGATGTCAGCAACACTCAAATCTATCCACAATCATCTTCAAACCCAGCTTCAGATCAGCTCTCAAAACCACAATGGCGACTTTGTGATGACGCATGAGGCAGATCGACCTCGCTGAAATGAAATATTCTGAAGTGAGATGACCTGGCGTGGCTCCAGCGTTTTGGCCCTGCTTCTGCTGACAACAGCCGTTTGATCCTGAGGACAGAGGACTGGAGCTGCTGTATACGTGAGTGTGTTCCTGACACTGCGGCCTCCAGGGACACCCCGACAGCCGGCTGGCACAGCAACGTGACGAAGACTAAAGGACTCAAGCCGTCCTCCTCTTCCTCCGATGCCACTTCTCTGTGTTTCGGTGCCAGGGAGTCAGATGCACCACAGGTGGATGATTTCAAAGCGTACTGTACACCCGAAGGCTACGAGTGAAGAATCGACGATGTGCGAAACTGACAAGAGTGAAAAAGAGAGTTTTTTGGCTGAGGATAGAAGCATTTCTTTCCTCTCGATCAGATTCGTCTGTGAGCACCGCTGAGAGGGTTGATGCTAAACACGCACTCATCTATTGTGATGGATGTTTTGGCTGCCAAGCGTTAGTGTACCTTTTTGACTTTTTTAATGTTTTAACCTCCGCATTTTCTATAAATTGCTGCTTTTTTATGGGCTCTCTCGCTGACTGATTGAAACCCATTTCAGCCGAGCTGTTTTTCCCATAAATGATTCATAACGGCGCATTAATTGTGACGCATCGATCAGGATTAAGAGCCCATCACCCTGCCTCCACACTTGTTTGTGGCTTAGTTACTTACTGGAAAGGCACTTCATTCAAAAGGCTTCTATCTAATGTCTTAATTTAAAGGCACTGAACATGCATTTTCTTCATCAGCTTCTTACTAAGGGCTGAGTTAAGTCAAGATGGTTTTTTTATATTGTCAAAAATCACTGTACAACACCCTTTGACCATCACTTGAGATGAGGAGCCACTTCTCTTTGGTCTTGGTACAAAATGTTATGTATAAATGTGTTTTTGCTAGGCAAGCTGCTAACATGATTAGAAGTCTAACATTTGAGATTTTCTTTGGTTTAACAATCCCAGTATTGTTCCAGTGTGTGTTTAATTCATATACCGTAATTTTCGGACTATAAGCCGCACCTGAATATAAGCCGCAGCAGTGGCATACCACTCTCGGTTCCACTTTTACTTTTGCGCGCTACCTGTCTCACTCTTTTCCGGCCTCCAGCTTTTCCTGCTGGAACCCGCCGCTTAAAGGTGGGGGTCCGCGGACCGGCCATAGAGCCCATAGAGTTAAAGGTGTTGGCCGTTAGCTGTAAAAATCCATAGATTAGCCGCACCGTTATATAAACCGCAGCTTCGAAAAATAGGGAAAAAGGCGCGGCTTATAGTCCGAAAATTACGGTAGATGTTTTTTATTTTAAAGAAAATTCAGATTGAACATAGTAAATTATAGTGTCCGTCCAAAAATTCTTTTTTACTTATAGTGAAAACTACCCTTGGATGATGGTAAGGTAGACTAAAAGCTTTAGGAATCCAAAGTATAACATATAATAAGTACCCTGTATCAAGATTGATGCAAAACACGTGACATTTGACCTTTTTAGAGAAGTTTAGCAAATCGGGTGATTTGGGTGGAAATGGCCGTTTTTACCGTTTCTCTGGAACCCATAGGTCGATTTTGGTGATTGACATCTCTTTCTGACCGTTAGAGCCAATAGAATCGAAGGGCAGTTTTCACATAGACACCAACGTTAACACAAAAAGGTGGGGGCTTGCGCATGTAGTTTTGCATGAGAGTGAAGCTATCTCTCGCTCTGACATCTGGAAACGGAAANACACAACACACACACACACACACACATACACACACACACACACACACACACACACAGTATGGAACGTTGGGAGGCTAAAAGCGCCCCTGAGGCTAAAGAGAGGCAAGACTGTTAAAACAAGACTTGTGTGTGTGTGTGTGTATGTATATGTTTATGTGTGTAGTCTAATGATTTTAAATGGGAATTAAATCATTTGAGTCTTCCCAAAACACCAGTGTTCTGCAGTTCCCCCCCCCTCTGACATCACCAGAAGTCATAATTGAAGGGGTCATTTCTCAAAAAATCATTCCGGGGGACGATCCCCCGGACCGCCCTAGTATGGTTTTGTCACCATTTCCACAGCCCCACCAATAATATTTCACCAGCCGCCACTGGTGATAGGTACTTTTAGACTACATTTTCTAGGACCCACAATTCTCAAAATGGAATGCATCATTGAAAATGGATCATGAAATTATTATAGATATTTCAAATGTTTTCGTTTTTCATTATCACATGAATGTGTAGCAGAAATGAAAGAGTATTTTAAACCAGTATGATATTAAATGTGAATGTGTGTCAAGGTTCATCTCCGATCAGGTCGTACATGGTGAAGAACAGAGTGTCTGCCTGCACACAGAGCCAGATGATCCTGGCATCAGAGTTTGGGTGTCATGCTGATCCGTGGTGTGACAGACTGCTGGAGGCGGGGTCACCTTCCTTCCGGCTATTCCTGTCCAGTTCACCTCTGTGAGCTGTCTGTTTGTCTGCTGCTTTAGTTCAAAACGCCTACCAGTATGATGATGTCCTCACAAGCAGGGTGAAATTGAGACACTCATCTTCCCCTTCATCGTTTTATCCTGTCAAACCATTATCTTCTTTTGAACAAAGAGCTCATTAACCTTGTTGTTGCCAAGAAGAGAGCTCAGCTCCCTCAACCTGTCTGGCCCCTGGCAAACACAGTGTTCCTGACACTTTTTAAATCTAATTTGGATGAGGTGTGTGGTTGTTAGTGTGTGTACGCTCTGACTCTATCAAAAGAATCAAAGCTCAACCCTTTGCTTTTAAAACAAGTCATTAGTTGACCTTTGGTTTCCTCTGACTGTGTCCTAATCCTATTGTAAGATGTGTTGTACTTACAGAAACAACAGCTTGACTGATAGGATTCCTCCAAGTTTTTGGAGGTTTGTCATGTGGTCAGCTTGGGGGAAAACTGGGTGGGTTGTCCCATTCGTTCTTGCTATTATGTCTTTAATAGTCAATATTATTTTGGTTCATTTGCATAGAAGTTATCTTATAAATGTTTACATTTGGTATGTCTAAATGTCCCGTTATTCATACTTTTTCTTTCTCATTTTCTAGGCGAGTCTACCCTATGTTTAGGTTGGGGCAATGTTTTTTTTTTTGTACCAAATAGAAGGGAAATGTTTGTTTAATAACAAATATTTTGGGCTTGTCAACATTTTATAATAAAACCAATATATACAAAAATGTTGGTATTGAAACTTTCAGAATTGTGGTCAATAGGTCGCCTACATGGTAAATTCAGGAGTAAGGCACTTTTAGTACATTTTCAGCTCTTCTGTGTTTCTTATCTAGGCTTTTACACAATGGGTTTATAATAAAGCAATAACCATCTTTCAATCTATGAAAGTGAAGCATAAGTTTAGGATATAACAGGCATGATATTTAGAGTGAAACATTCTTAGTTTCCTTTGCTGTGACTGACACTGTACTTGACATTATCTGCACTATGCAAAGGCTTTTAGCTCCACCCACCCTACTCTCCAGTCACTATACCCTTAGATGTACCTGCAAATAGAGTTTGAGCCATGTCTGCTAAAAGGATTATCTCTGATTATATGCATTCCTGTGCTGATTTGAGGTACATTCGTTATCCGCAAGGAACCAGTTGAATGCTGGCACCCTGTTGCTCCAGATTCTAGGGGCACGATGGACATCCGATCAGTGGCGAATAGGGTCTGGATCGCCTGCTGAGAGCTGGCATCAGCCAATTTACCTTTTCTCCACTTTCCCCCGTTATTTACAGGCTGTTTATTTTTCTTTACAGTTGAACTACATGCCCTTGTTTATACAGTCCAGGAAAGCCTTGCTCTTCTGCAGCAACATCCTGCTTCAGTTTCTTTCAGATGCGAGTCCTGACAGTGAGCAGAAAATTCAAGGCCTTTATTGTCATTTGTGGATAGCTGCAGTGTATTTATGACAATGGAAATCTTAGGTCACACACACATCTTAGGTTGGAATATTGATATAAATTGCAAACAGATTAATGTTATGGATGTTCTTTCAAAAGTTCAGGTGTTTAACAGTCTTACGGCCTGTGGGATGAAACTGTCCCTTAGTCTATTGGTTTTAGACCCGATGCTGCATTAGTAAAATAGTCTACTATTTAATAGAGAGCACTTTGAAGGATTCTAGATATGGGAATGGACATTTGGGAATCACCTATGGCCCCTTATTAGCTATTTTGCAGGAACAATGATTGGATTCTGCTGTTTTTTGGACACAAACAAGCATTTGTACCCTTTCAAGCACAAACCGCCCCACTTCTGTCATTTCTAATCCTCGAGTGGTCACATATGTATCGTTGAGCCTCCAGATCACTGCTCCCTAGATAAACCCTAAGTCTGCATCTATCTTCTTAGACTGTCTGATTAGCACAACGTCATAGCATGGGGTAGTAATCCCAGTCTGGGCCCAGGAATAGAGCGCTGGGAGGGGCCAGGCCACTGGAGAGACGGTAGAGCCAACGTGCATGTGTCCCCTGGTAATCCCTAGTTAAATAACCCCCCCTTGGGCAGGAAAAAGAGGGAGGGAGCTGAGGGCAGGGGACGTGACACCATGGGAGCAGCTCCAGTCAGTGTCCTCCTATCCCTGGGACACAGCACAGCAGCCGAAGGAGGAGAGGGATTCAAAGACTTGTTGGACTGTAGGAAGACAGTGCTTCGATCAGGATGAACTTTGCTGCCCAGTTTTTCTATTCGAGCTACTTGAGTGAACGACTTGAGCGTTTGTACTCACCCAGGCCTGCACTTAAAGACGGAGATGAGAAGGACCCCTTCTGGCAGAGGTGGGATATTACAACATGTAGTCCTTTGGATCCTCAAGACCCCTCCCCTAACAAGCTTAGTCCAGTAGGAAAATATTTACCCTTTGTGCTTAGTTTGGAAAAAGCTTCTACCTTCATCGGTTCAGCTCCTTTAGTTACTTCCTTCCCTCCTCCTTATCCACTTTTTTTGAAGCATTCCCTGACAAACAGACCCTCAAATCTCCAATCTATTCCTCTGCCACCTCCTCCTCAACTCAATCACAAAAGGAAATCAACAACACCACCCATTTGTCTTCCAAATCAACGTTCGGCTGTTGAGATCCCCCAATCGAAGCTTTATGAAATCCCTTCCAACATTCTTTCTCCTCAGATGACTCTCCCAAAACCTTCTCCAGCTCCATCCAGGTCCCCAGCAGAAATGGCTTCTATCGGTGTGTCCCCTTCTTCCTCCTCTTCCTCAGTTCCTACCCCTTCGAGAGGAGAGCTCCTCCCAACCTTCCAAGCCCTGGTAGACTTGCTCCTTCGCTTGGTCCTCTACCTTGCTTTCATCTGCGTCCCCAGGTTACTCTCGATAAGAGAAAGACAGAGAGAAATGAAAAGCAAAAAATCAAAGAGGTGGGCTGCTCAAGAATCATTAGAGTGCAGTACTCTGCCACTGCTTTGGGCAATACATTCTGTCAATGACATCACATCTAGGGTCACATGAAGGGTTCCAGTGGTTCTTTGCAAAAACGGAACAACCATGATTGTCAGGTAAACATTAGGTCGATTTTAAATGGACATGTCCAGACAAACTAAGAAAAACAACTTTCAAGAACCTTGGTATGAGTATCTAAACCATCTGATACTACTTGTGGTACTTTGACTGAAACAAACTGTACAAAGCATGCAATTTGGATGTCATACCCATGCCTGAATGAAGGAAAGAGGAAAAATGGCACTTACAACACTGCATCATCAACAATTGGGGTAATATAGCGCTTGGAGGACTTTTCTCCTCTCAAGGGATCATTGTTCCATTATAGGAAAAAGGAAGCAAAACAGCAGCCATTTTGGGCTTTTCGTTTTTAAATGGACATTAGAAGCTAAGATAACCAATGACCAAAGTCTGGTGGGCTGAAATATCTTTGGCCTTGTAATAATTTGTGTTGCCAATTTGAATTAAAATGACCTTCTTTACCATTTGAGGGATGCTTTTTGAGGCTTCATCCTGGTGGCCATTTTGCTCTTTTCCCCCTTTTGATGTTGTTTTTGAACTCTGCCTTTGATCAGAAGCACCCTCCTCAGAGGTGCAGCCTCTGACTGTTCAAGTCATAAGTGCACACTGAGTGTCTTAATAAGGAACTGGAATTAACTGACAAGTAGAGCAGAGGGCAGCAATGGACCCTGTGGACGCGGTGAAAGGTCACACTCTTGTTTATGCCGACCATTGTGACATAAATAGACTGGTGTGTTCTCTGAGGAGTGCAGATTTAGTTTGTTAGGGAGAACTGCTCTATCTGGTGGGAGATTGGTATTCAAACACACTAATACCTAACGCTAAAGCACTTTCATGACTGGATCTTTTTTAGTTATTTTGAGTTACTCAGCTCTATCTGGACAGATACAGCAAACCCTGCCCATCTGAAGACATAAACACATATGTTCATACCGTAGATCTGAAGACGACTTGGATCCATGGACTAAGCTTATTCAAGCTTAGCTATTAACTATTTGTGATCTGCTTATGTGGCTAGGTGACAAGGTTAATCTCCAAAGGGTCTAATCCTATTATTATGTTTATATTGTGTACAGTGCCTCCGTAACTAGATGGTTAGAGAAGTGTCAACAATTGATTGTGAGAAATTAACAGTAAACAAGAACTCAGATATTTAACTTGAATAAAATATGCTATAAATAAAGTTACAATTAAAAGTATTGCATTCAAATTGAAGAGGTAGGGCTCATTTTAACCACCTACTATATTGATTGGTAACCTATTATAACTTATTTGCAAATCTAGATCTTTAAAACTTAAATCCAAATGAATGTACTAACTAGTAACTAAAGCTTTAAATTGAATGAAACTTGGAAATGTAGTAAAGTAGAAGTATAAAGTAATAGACAGTAAGTTGTAAATACTCAAGTAGTGTACAAACACCTCAACATTTTAAGTACATTTCTGAGAAAGAATGAACTATTTAAGTGAGTTATACTGTTTGGTTATATTCAATGGCCATGTACTGAGCTGTTATAAATGTAGAAAAAGTCTTCCAGGGCGGTGCATTTGTGTGTTTTGGGGAAGTTCAAACTTTATGATCTGAGGTCTGGATGCTGAACACCAACCCTTTTAATTCAAGGAGCTATGAAAAGCAAATTATTATTTTGTTTGGGAATTGGTTTTCCTCTGGGTTGGAGTCCTGACAACTAGTTCAGTGACAGATGCATCTGGATTCTCAGCTTTTGGTCCACAAATTAACCAGAGTTGTTCACTGGTCTCTGTCTGATGAAACTAATCTGTATGTTCATCGTAATGAAGTTCAGGCAAGTTTCAAGGTTTTGAGGATATAATTAGGACAAGGAATTAAGGTACTTCCTACCTCGTCTAATCTGTGTATCATCATTTTGTTGAAGTACATGTCAGTTTTCTCAAACGCATGATATCCCAATCTAAAATGAATTACAATATGTCTACCTGGTGTTTCCTTCCCAGAGATGAGTTGTGTCTGGGCCCCAGTCAGCCTGGAGGCTCTGACAAATGTGGCCATGTCACTAACGGTAATGCAGTCCGTGGATCCACCCTCATTGAACCGGAGCGTCTGAAGGACTTCGGTGAGGAGGAGCTGGTCAATGGGGATGTGAAGGTCTATAGCACCAAGGTGGTGGGGGGTCCTGCTGAGATCGTGCTCAAGGAACCCCCTAAAACCAGACGTATGAGCGAGTTCAGGAACAACCCCAGACCTCTTGTCCCGTTTCTCCGCTTTGAGGACATCAGCGCCGCAGCCTTCAGGATCCAGGCTGGGATCCAGAAGACCCCCTGCACGGTAAGCTATAGAAGGACTATAGTGATGTGGTGGGGAAAGAAAAGGTTAACAAAAATGATGCTTCAGAATGCTTCAGAACCCTCACTAAAAAATATAAACACACATCTTTGGAACTATATATTTTTACATTGCATTTATTATACTTAATACTGTAAAATCTTTTACAATTGTGCACATTTATACTCCAAATTACCATTGTAAAAACTACAGAATGTTAATTAAAAAGTATTTTATATATTTTTAGAACTTTTCATAACTTTATAGCATTTTTCCTCTATTCTTTTGTATGTTTTAGGATTTTTGTAATTCTATTTTTTATGTTATTTCAAATTGCTAAGCCTAACCCTAACTGACCAATACACCAAAGCAGATTCCCTGTACGTGAACACCTACAATTGGCAATACACCATCTTCTGAATAAATATAGACAACATTTGATGAACAAACAGACATTACTGGAATGATAGTTGCACCAACAGGGATTAAATAATGAATAAGTAGATAATAATATTTGAATACATTGTCATAGACTAAAGAAATGTTGTTCCAAAAGATGAGCTAAAGTTATAGCTTTTGACCTAATACAGTACAGTTCAGTTAACTCAGTTCAGTTAATTAAACATAGAGCTTCTCTTAGAATGCTATTCTTTGTGTGTTTGTGCAGTACTCCAGACTCTCCAAGCAGTACGGGATGGAGATCTACCTGAAGAAGGAGCACCTGCACTATACAGGCTCTGTGAAGGAGAGAGGAGTCCGGTACATGCTCAGCTCCCTCACACAGGTCAGAGACAGAGATAGATGATCCCTTCCTGTCCGTCAGGTCACAGCTAGTGATCTACATTTTGTGTGCTCCTGCAGTCAGACAATGACCAATACTGACTTGCAGTTACAAAAATAGTCTGAGTGCAGCTTTAATTGACAGTGGCCTGGAAATGTTTCTCTTAGCTTATCTTTGAGAGAACTTAAAACATGTTCAACCAACCTAACAAATGGCCTATCAGCAGAGTTGTGTTAATACGTTTCTTATATATTCTTAGGTTTAAGCCAACTGTTGAGCACACTGATGGAATAAATGACTTCAGACGCCTTTATCCTCGCCAGTAAAGCCATGCAAAGATCTGCTTTGTGTCAGGAAGCATCAGGGATTATGGGAACTGTGGTTTACATTTCGAGAAACACTGGCTTTACAAAGAAGGCCTCATTCGGTTGAGGCCAGAAATTAACCTGGAATATCTTTTGTGGTGATGTAACTTGGTGCAATGTTAAACCTTTTAAAGGACTAGTTTGCTATTTTGAGATATATGCCAATTTGCTTTCTAGTGGAGGGTTAATGAGAACATCACCATTAGCTTAGCATAAAGATAACAAAGGGAAACAGCTAGCCTTGTTCTGTACAAATGTAACAATATCCACCAGTAGGTTTTAAGCTCACTTATTAACATTGTATCTTGTTTTTTTAATCCATCCTTGAGTGTAAAATAAACCAATTTGCTAAGAAGTAGTCCCGCACAGAACCACTTGCAAGACAGCAGACCATTCTTATGCTGGAAGTGCAAATAGTAGTTCACACTGTGGAGGATTCTTCATTGACTTCCACTAAATTGGTTGACGTTGGCTGACGCTGTGTGTACATACAGTATATATATGACATATTAATTAATATCAACGTGTTGTTGTCCCCCCAGGCTCAGCAGAGGAAGGGCGTGATAGTTGCCACTGACTGTAACTTCTCCATGGCCGTGGCCCACCATGCAGTAGAGCTGAACATCCCGGTGTTTGTCATCATGCCGTCATGCTGCTCCTCGCCTCGCCTCCGGATCTACAGAGACTACGGAGCCATGGTCATCTCCTACGGCAGCACCGGCCACGACTCCCAGAACCACGCCCGCCATCTGGCCTCAGAGAACGGATACCTCTACCTGGAAGAGTCAGTGTTAACATTCTCAACTAGTACTTTTTATACCCAGTAGTTGTGGTCTTTAATTTACCAGGAACACATTTTGGGAAAGCACTGATGTAACTAATAACGTTAAGGAGGAACTCCGTTCCCAAATTCTCCACGCACTAGATACTTTCACAGTATTCATACACGTTCCCTATAGTCAAACAAGACTTTCTACAATATGGGACCTTTAAGGGGAAAAACTCCAAGAACACTTGCAATATTTTTCCTATTCGCCAAACGCTGCTACTACACTTTCGTGTCAGTCCGTGAAGTGATCAAATAATGACCTCTACTGACTTTCATTGTGAAAATAAATATTTTTAAGGTAAATCAGCTTGCCAGGACGAACGCTTATTTAAATCAATAGGGCCAGTTCTCTTTATATATCCGTGTGACAAACTCTTTTTGACAGTTTTTTGACTGTACAAAAGTTGCCTTCAGATTTCTGACAGCTTTGTATGCCACAAGAACGTTATGTAAACTAACATTCTATACGTCATACAATATAGTCAGTAAAAAAAAGTATTTTGGTGTGGAGTTAGAAAGAAGTTTACCAGACCTCTGTAATCTATATTAGACAGTACTTGCAAAAAACTTCAACTGATGGTTTAGTTGCCCCATGGGTAATGTAGGCTTATGGAGGTCGGTTTGGCGTGGTTTTACAAAGGACATCTACGATATGAGGTCTGCGGATCATCAGGACACACACCTTCACCTGTTACACTTTTTTTTCTGACTCTGCCTTCTGATTTACAGAGAGGAAAATGAATCGTACCTGGCAGGACTGGGCACTGTTGGCATGGAGATCTACGAGCAAGTGTCTAAACTGGACGCAGTGGTTATTCCGGCAGCTGGACAGTACGGGCTACTGGCTGCTACAGCTGCAGCCATCAAACACCTCAACTCCAGAATTCTTGTCATAGTAAGTACACGCTCAATTTAGGTTGTTTAATGATCTGCATAATTGTCTACCTACTGTAATGTTTAAGTATATAATATAATTAAGTATATAATGGGTTGATCTGTAGCCCAATCTAACACCAGCACATTTCCCATAATTCTTTCTTCTGATTACAAATAAGTACAACTCCCTGGTGTTAATCCAAGTGTGTGTTGCCGATGTTGAAAGGTATCTGGTTATAGTATTCAATTTCCAAACTCCAATGTGTTTGGTTTACGTCTTGTTTATACATGTGGTAATATGGTGAAAATACATTGGCTTTCTCCAACAGGGAATTGAACCAGAAGGCTTCCCTCTGCTGCAACAATCTCTGAAAAGTAACGGCCCAATCAAAAACATGAACAGCAACCCCAATAAGAAACTCTATGGAGGTAAACTCAGTTAAACATTTAATAGTCAGGTCTTTTTCAAGTCTATTAAAGTCATGCACAACAAACTTCATAATTATCTTCACATTTTTCTGAGAGAAGCTTATGGCTTTTTTATTTCTCTATTGCAGATCTAATGGAGCATTCCCTGGGTGATAACACCTTCCAGCTGGCAAAGAAACTAGTGGATAAAGTCGTCTCTGTCAGGTACTGCACATTTACACTTTCACGCTTCATCTGAAAACATTTTCAATGAGATATTGGATGCCCAGTGTGTGAAAACTCATTTCATATTCTGAATATAGTTCACTGTAAAACCCCATTTGAAATTATTACTGCTCTGAAATGTAGAATTCCAGGTATTTTGATGTAGATATTGAATATTTTAGAAAATACTCACGTTATAATCTTTTTATATCAAACCCTAATTTGAAAACGTATAGACCGGGAATTCTAACCGTGTTTTCCAATTGAGGACTTATTTCTTATGAGTGGGAGGATTCTCTGGTGGCGATGCTGCGGTTTCAGGAGTTTGAACGCTCCACTGTGGACACAGAGGGAGCCATGGGACTGGCAGCCATCTTGGCTGTGTGTGTGTGTGTGTGTGTGTGTGTGTGTGTGTGTGTGTGTGTGTGTGTGTGTGTCCTCTGTAGGGTTGCTGTAGTGGTGACCAGTGCTAACATGGAGCTGGAGCTGATGAGGCAGTGTGTGGACCGGGCCCTGGTGCTGGATGATCGGGTCAGTAAGTTCTCCGTGCAGCTGGGGGAATATCCAGGAGACATGGCTAAGCTGCTGGACGTCTTGTCCAGAGAGGAAGTCAGGTAGGGGCAACCCCTGTTCATTTTAAAGATCTGTTGATCAATCTCTCTCTTCACGCTGAGGTCTAGTTTATGTATAATATCTCTTGATGCCACCTTTTATTCCTTAATATCTTCGTCTATTTCCTCTAAGGTTGTTGGATGTCTGCCAACGGAGACAAAGTGACAAGTCAGACCTCTTCAAGGCAAAGGTATGCGACATATCTGTCCTCTACACATCATAATTTGTTGTCCTCGTCTTCAATTTGCACATTTTCTTTTCTTGCATTGCCATGAAACTCATGGCTTTGAGTTAATGGGACAGATTAGTGTAACTAAAAATACAATTTAAGATAAATATAGAGGTATCAGTGCTCTTTTTTCTAGTTTGTTTATCCCGTAAGAACATATGCTTACTGCAAGGCACAGCCAATAAAAAAACAAAATTTCACTTTTTTTGTCAGGAATAAAGTGTATTGTAACTTGTGTTATGAACGATTTATGAACTAACACCTACACAAAAAGCTTCAGAATATAGATAGGGATGAAACTGCAAAATATGGTGTATGTAAGTGCTACTGAAGTGGAGATTTCTGGCTCAGTATGAGGAAAAAATTACTTGAATACATTTTTCAACAGGTGAATAGGGTAAAATATAGAACCAGTACACATTACCATGGACCTTCCCTAAATTGATTGCTCGCATTAAGATTATGTATGTTTTAAAGGTTTTCAAGTTATGTTTAAATATGAAAATAAATGATGACACAGCCTGACAAACACACTTTTGAAACAGCCGTGTCAAAAGGTGAAGGTGTTGCATAATTCACTCCCTGACCTAATTCTAGGGTGTGTGATGTTAGAGGGCTAACTGTATGTGGATGTGTGTGTGTTGGCAGGTGGAGTGTGTGGTGGAAACCAGGGATAAAACACAAAGCATTCAGCTACGCAAGGTCCTGAGTGAGCGCTACCCCTCTATATGCTGGCTGGATCGGTGATCACAACATGAACACGAAGACTAGAGCACGGAAAAATAACATTACATGAATCATGAATATAATGTGAGCTGCCGTGCAAACACACCCTGCTACATACACTACTACAATATATGAACTCTGTTATAGGAATACCATTAAGACAGTGGCTGTTAAGCAAACCTAAGTGTATAAAGAAAAGCCTTGAGATTGTGTAGAGAATACTATTCATGTAACTTCTATTACTTATGCTGCTATCGTTCTTTAATTATGCCCCTGTGTAATTATGGTAAAGTGCATAGGCTGTATTCAGAAGATGAATGTATAGTTCACAGAGCATTATTCAAGCACTGAATATTTACTCATTTAGTGCCCTCTACGTAAAGTAAGTAGGCCTAAACACTATGCAACTTCCTAAACCATCTGCATCAAATGTGTATTTTATTTTCAATCCATATTGTATTTTTGTATATATTTCTGTATTTATTCTGCCTACGATGGTAGAGTAAAATTGTAAAAAGTGTTCTGGAAATAAACATTGACTGTCTATGACTTGTTTTTGTGGTTTTCTGATGTTGTGAAACAAATATATAATTTAAAATATTAAGCCTTTTCTTGATGGCAAGTGTAAACTCTCAAGAAAAAAAATGAAGCATGATGGGAAAGTGAAATGTTTCTTTACTGCCAACTCCTGATAATAGCAGAGGATTGCTGCAGTGGAGGCCGGGCTATTTAAGACGGGCTAATGCTCTTATGTTCATAAGCAGAGGACATTGTGCAACTGCTTTGTGCAACGTCACACTTGTAGACCTGCAGAATATCTGTTTGTTGGTTGTTTGAAACACAACTTCAAATGAAAGCTTATGTTGCCTAATTTTTTCATATCTCAATATATCAAATTAAAAGTATGCTTTTGTTGAATTGTGTACTTACATTATCCCAAATGTCTCCAACACTTACGAGCATCCTTTATTTCAATGAAGTTTATTGGTCGGTTTCATTCACAGTGGTTGTCTGCCAGAAGCTTTTATGAGTGTAACTTTTATCGGTTTGTAATCTTTGTTCGAATGACCATTGGTTTTAGATCTTGCTGATTTAAAATGATATTTCAGCCAAATTCAGGAATTTAGTCTTCTGTTAAACACTCCATCCTTTGGTGTTTTCTCCTCCTATTCTTTTCCCCCTTAGCGTGGTTCTGATTGGCCCTCGGCTCCATTTTTGCTCAGGTGTTTCAGATCTGCCCTCACACATATTATATAAGGAAGGCTGGAGGAGAAGTAGCTCCTGTATTGTTTTCCTGCCAGACACTGCAGAGCTCTGTCGTCCTTAAATTAGGGTTTTACTAAATGTTTTCCCTTATTTATTTTGAAGATGGAGGATCTCGAGGCCCAGTTTTCGCAGCTTTATTTCTTAGCTTAGTTGGTCTCAAATACTATCGCATGAAACTGGTCTCTTTGGCGTCTCAAATACTGTATATGTTGCCGGTCACAAACTAAGCCACAAAGGTTATGTGATGCCAGGTGGCTGTAACACATTGGACATCAAGCAGCGTCAGTTAGCTTGCAGCCTCACCAACCTATGTCTGCATTGAAAAAAATAATATTTTGACATTGACATTGCTTTATTCTCTACATTTTTTTTTTTTTTTTGTATTTTAATTAATTTTGATTTGACCTCTATGGATGATTCAGATTCCTATAAAAGTTCCTGAACATTGAACAATGAAGAAATCCTGACTGGGAGAAGCTGACTGCAATGACAGAAATGTTGGTCAAGAACATAGCTCCTTAGCAACTACCTGAAAACTCAAACTGTCTTGTCTTTGTTTTTGGATTTAAAGACCTCTAGTGTCAGAGAACTACATAATGTGCTTTCTACATTTCCTGAGGAAGAGCTGGGCAATAGAGGACCCTGGATAAATAGGGATAAGGACATACAGTATAGGAAATGTAGCAACACGCTAACATCTAGCTTGTTCCTGCTGGTCCAACAACCAACAAATTATTATTAAGGTAGGCACACAACCTTATTATTACATGCATACTTTAAAATGTTCTCTTAACATTATACTTAAAGCCACCATCAGTTCAAAGTTTTAGTTTTTTAACAACATACCCCACCCATTAGCCTCAGCTATACTCTTTGTGAATTGGAAATTAGCGAATGTTAGCATGCCAACACGTAGGATAAAACAATAAATCTTACTCATTATTTCCCCCTAATCTCGGGTCCTTCTGTGCCTTACTATGGCTTCACAGGTCCACTGTAAGATCTTAATGTTGTATTAACTGGTTTAGAGGGAATTCTTAAGTAAACTGTAATAAACTAAAGGATTAAGTCAGAGCATTTCAAGAAAAATCAATAATTCAGCGAAACACATTTCCTGCAGTTTGTAATTAACTCTTTATTTTTCAATGTTAACATTAAGAAATTCCAGTCTTCAGTTTAAAAAGTTGAACACAAAGCACTTCAGTAAATTAAAAAGGCAAATTCAAACAGCAACTCTCTTTATTTTTATCCCGGAGAAGAGGAAGATTACAGCAGCTGAGAACATATCCCAAGTACCATTGAATAGTGAGAGCACAACATAATATCATTAGAGATAACCCTTGTATTGCACTAACATTTTCAGCCCGGGATCATCAAGAGAACTCTGATGCTATATAATATAAAAACAATGTTAATATTATTATCCAGTAAAAACTTCCCTGGTTTATTAATAGAAAATCCATGGAATTAAATTGTGTCCATCATATGAACACATTAAGTTATATGAACTAAGATGGAACATTCTAGTGTTTCTATAAAGCTATGTTTTGACTTCAATACTTTTATGAAAAAAGAGATAGGAAAGGCTGATGTGTCTTCCACTTGCCCCTCAGCAGGATTTCATATCAGAGAGAAATACAGAGGAGGAAGAACAGGAGGCACAAATTGATTTTCTTCTTTCAGCTTATGTAGTGTTGTTCTTCTGGCTTCATCTTGCAGGACTCAGTGCTGTTTGGGGCGCTCTGGGTCGTATTTGACCAGCAGGCCGAGGGAGGCGAAGCCAAACAGGAAGGTCTGGATGAACCACAGGCAGCGAGAGGTTAGGTTGGTGATGCCTTTCTCACTGCAGGGGAAAAGAGAATATAGAATGAACAACAAAGTTAAGTTAGAAGCAGCTGTATAAAACCCCAATCCTTATAGAATTTGAAAGGGAGGGGTAAACACTGGTCCTTTTTTAAATATACTTTAAACTACATTTAGATTCAGGGTAGGAATTACCTTCAAAAAGTTACCACCTCTGCTGCCACAGCTAGCAAACACAGAGGTAACTGAGCTAACAGGGTTAACAGTGCTAGCAATGCTAATAACAGCAACAGTGCTGACAGAGCTTACTGTGTTAACCTGGGTGTTAACTAGGGCTATTTTAGACTAAAGTATGCTTAGCTTGACTTACTGTACACTTTAATTGACACATCTGTTTCTCTACAAAGAAGTAGGAAAAAGCACCACTTTAAACCTTATGTTTACCAGAAATGTGCTCATCAGTTTCTTTGGAATAACCAATAAAAGCATTAAAAAACACTAATCAACTAAAGAAATCTTATTCGATAGGACCCAAAAGAACAATTAATGAACTAGCTTCTGGGGCAGCCAGAGATGTCAGGACTTGTCCCATCATCTGATGTTTGTTAAAGCCCCTGTCACACTGTCCCGAAATTGACACCCGATGGACACACGATAAAGGAAGTGTTCAAATTCTGCTCTGATTGTAACATCATCGGGCCATTCGTGAGGGCATCTTAAGCCATCGTATGACCGCCGGTGGAGTTTCTCAGGCTCCGGCAGCAACTTCGTGAGCAGCAACTTCGTAAGGCACTCGTGAGGGCATCTTGTCAAATCTTGAGGGCATCTTGTTATCATCGGTGCCATATCACCGATGAGAACAAGATGCCCTCACGATGGCCTTACGAAGGGCAAAATTGACACACAAATTCAACACGAAAATGAACCTTCGCAAGGTCCTTCTGCAATTTTTTTGGCATGCCAAAGATTTTGCCACCGCTCATGAAGTTGCTGCCGGAGCCTGAGAAACTCCACCGGCGGTCATACGAAGGCTTAAGATGCCCTCAAGAATGTCCCGATGTTACGATCAGAGCTGAATTTGAACATTTCCTTTATCGTGTGTCCATCGGGTTGTTTTATTGCACAACAAAATCTAAACAATGTAAACATATTATGTAAATAACCCAATTTGTGTTCTGTGAAACTGAAAAGGATATAATATATTATTTTGAAGGCGAGTTGACAGGAAGTTGTTGTTGCTATGGAAACAACATTACGGAGAAAACTTAATATCTTCTACATATAAAGAAGGATAAAGTAAAGAACAGTCTGAAAATATCAGTCCAGTATCATAGTACTTTAACATGATTGTTTTTGTTACTTTCGTTGCAGTTGTATGTCTTAAATGTAATAATATTAATAATAATAATAATAATAATAACTTGAATTTATATAGCGCCTTTCATAACCTCAAGGTCGCTTTACAAAGTAATGTAAATGTTGCCTTTGTGTGTGGTTCGGGGCCATCTCCGTGTGAAATTCACAATTCCATATTCGTGTGTCCATCGGGTGTCAATTTCGGGACAGTGTGACGCCAGCCTTAACAAGTGGATTCATTGAGTGTATATTCTTAAATTATTTATCTGGATGGTGTTTTATATAGAAAGAGAAGAATACAAAATATATGTATAGAAATTATAAAAGATCATGAATTAGATGTTATAAAAATGTTGTTTTAAATGTTCTAAGGATCAATATCTGTACACAACGATATCTGACGAAGTACTGGCTATGTATGGTTTTATAAAAAGAACCCAGGTAGAAAAAAAAGCGAAAACAGATGGTAATAAGTCAACACACATATCAGATAGTTATTTTGACCTATACTGAAAAAAATTTCAGTTTACTAAAAATAAACTAGAAAAAGTTAGAAAAAATGTCATGCCCTAACCATAAAGAAAAAATCAGGATAAATCATGGAATGATATATAAAGTTAATGGAGAGACCTTTATGAAGCTTGGTACAATTATTATGATCCCCATATACTTCACAGTTTTATAACAAATAGAAAGTCTTTCCTAATTTAATTTGTGTCAAATAAAAGGCCTCAGAAAAAAGAGGAAAAACGAGGGCTTCCAAATACTTTTCTGGAAAGCTTCAGTCATTTTTAACTCCACGTTCTAACACAATATAGGATCAAAATTGGACACAAAGAAGTGCTTATTTATTTTTTACAGAAATGTCACTAAAGAATAATATCGCTAGTGCCTGAAGCACAAACTAAAGCGTGTGAGAGAAGGCAGCTTTTGGACTTCTATTTATACTCAAGTATGATGCGTTTGAGTTTTAAAGGCTGTTGCCTAATTTCATTGTCAAAAATGTGACTACATCACCATCCAGTGGACGATCAGGTTCTTGTCATTCTTACCGGCACATCCTCATTGCAATATAGGCCTCAAACAAATGGATAGCCCAGGCAGCCCACCATCTGTAACAGACAAATGTGTGTTATAGTCCTCAGATTTTATATTACACGCTTTCTATTTTTGCGCTTTTTCTTGGTACAGCATTACAGACGCCCCTTTTAAAGTCATACAGTCTGAGAACATGGTGAAACTGCACATAATGTTTTGTTTGTCTTCATGCAAAGTTAGGTAACACCCAGCAATGAGTCCTGGGGTCACATGACTACCTAAAAACAGATTACATTACTTATTTCACAAATGTCAAAACACCAAGTAATGGATGGTCCACTCAGCATTAACGTCTGTCCTTACTGTCACATGACTCAGATGACAACAAAACATTATGTGTTGATTGCTGTCTTAATTCTCTACTGTTGCTTCGGCAGTCATGTGACTTAAACGACTAATTAGCAGAGTGCTTTAGCAGTGGAAGTGTGTGTAACGACCTGTGAATTGGAGAACCATTAAGGCTGTAGGTGATTAAAAACTGTATTCAAGTCTTGTGAGGATACTTTGCACATTATCTGATTGTCTTTATTCTAATAAGGCAAAATCGCGTTTTTTGAGCAAGTGAGAACTGTCAAAACATTTGTATTCTAAGGCAGATTTTAAAAATAATAACTCTCATGATAGCAGTGTTTTCTTCTTATCACTTACCCTTTGTACATAATGCTAGCATAGTTATCCACGAGATGAGTGCAGAAGCTGCCAAATGGACCAAGGTGCTCGAATGGGATTTTTTCAGGTGCAAACACAATGCACTGCAAAACAAAGAAAGAGTCATTTGACATTAAACAATAAAAAAATACTCATATGCTGTGTATCTTAAGAGATACTGCTACAAATGGTTTTCTATAAAAGAGGAACATTCCAATAAAAAAAGAAACGGTGCAGTTTCTTTTAGATGAACTGCAGTTTGTGGCACTTCCTTATTGGCCTCCCGGCTCTGCCCCAGACTTTGCCGCTTGGTTAAAACTAACTATCATCTGTCTGTTCTTACAGTGTTTCAATTACACAGTGGCATTTATGAACTGTATGATATTAGGGTTTCCCAGACAGCACTATTGGCTCTTTTTGCTGCAGTGAGGGTCATGACTGTATCACAAGGGGGAGCCTTGTTAAGAGATATGCCACTAAAATTCAATGTGACAGTTCTGCACGATGATGGGTTGGTATTTCATTTTTTTTCATGTGAAACGGTACAGGATATTTTCTAGGCTCTACTGTAGGTCAGACTAAATGTGATCTATGTTACTTTCAGAATCAGTGTTTTTTCCCCGCCTTTACACACATTCTGCTTACAACCAGTTCACCTGATAACAGATAGAAGTTACATTCTAATCAATTGCTTTCTGACACTGCATCCCATTTTTTTCCAACATTTTTGATCAGATATTTGTTTCGTAAGTAGAAATGACTAAGCATAAAATAAAAAAATAGAAAAATAGAACAAAGATTGTACACTTTATACACACTACAAATCCCAGTGAAATCGACATGATGTAATATAGTGTTGTGCCATTGTGCTATTGTCCTCCTCAGTGCACCTGTGACATGTCAGGTATGTGTCAATATGGACCATGACTGCTCTATGGAAAAGACAATAGTATATTGTTCAAAGGGCCCCTCAACCCAGAGAATGCAGGTCATTTATGGTTTGGATGTCATACACATCTAAAGGCAGAACCACCATTTTTCATACGAAATAACTTAACTTTTCTTAATTTACCTAACATGAACAGTTGTCATTTTCTTACTACATTAAGGTCTCTCTTAACCTTACTGTGTAGCCTACGTGGCAAGTGGTAGTATAAATAAACCTGTTTGAGACCATGCGACATGCTCCAAATCCCTTGTAAAAGGTTACATGTTGGTGCATTTTACTTGTTTGTCCAGTACACTGGATAGCAACTTTTTAAAACAATTTAAATTTTACGAAAAGACAGTCCATTGATCAATTCGGCATATATTTGAGTGACCAAGCACTACTACATTACAACGAAATCCTCAATATCTGTCGACTAGTTAGCTTTACTGCGAGTTTAGCATCCATGTAAGCATTTGGCAGAATGCCAAGTTAAATTAAACTAACACATTTTGAATGGAGTTGGCACGTTATTGTTTGCTTTTCAAATGCAATGGGCGGTACCAGGACAAGCATTAGCAAAGGTAAGGGTTAACACTGGACTACTTACTAACATGTCCAGTGGACTTTGGACAGAAGTTAGTTTAACTTATAGCCTACTCTTACTTAGGAATTAATGATCCCGATAAGATTAGATATCATTTAAACACTGACTTGGCAATGACCTCGAAGGCTACTTTACCAACTAAAAACATTTCCATACAAACTCAAGCAAAACATCGATACAGAATTAAGGATAATGAAGAAACAGCAACATAAAAATAGCGTTTTATATTTTGAGAGAAAATAAAACCCGGAGGACATTTAATGCAACACAGCAGGGTGGCATCGCAAGCAAGGAGAAGTTATGTGTAACACTGTTCTCTATTATATCTTACTTCTATTATGGATAAAAGCACAACGAACTTACAGTAAAATATCCCATGCCGAGTGTCACGGCGACGAGCCAGAACAGGCTGGTTCTTTTAAAGTAATCGCATCCATCACTTTTCGCCATAGCTGCTGCTGCTGGTGTTCGCTGGTCCCGCTGTCAAATACGACCGTGTAGTAACAGCTGAGATGAGAAGTGACTCGAGGAAGGGAGGGTGATACCGTTTTCATATTCATGCATAATGGAAGGACTATTACATAAGTGGACAAAGCTATTGAAAAAAACAAAAAACATAATTGTTTTATATGTCAAGTGTTCTCACTATATATTTGTCTTTTTGCCATTTATACTTATTATAATAACCTGTAACAAAATACAGATTAATAACAACGTTTTACTGCATTGTTGCCACCTAATGGATACATTTTATTTATCATGTATCTATATTTATACATGGGTCCTGGTGAGACGAGATGGGAATAAACAACAAATAAATGTTTAGAATATATGGAGAGACATTTTATAATAATGTGCATATATTTTACTGCTACCTGAGACCTTCCTATGTGGACTCATTCCAAATCAACTTCGCTTTTTTCTATCACCTTTAATACATACATGTAGCCAGAGTATCTTCCATTCAAAATATATAGATAATTTTGAAGAAGTAATAGAAGAATAACATGTTAAAAATCAATAAATACAAACCAATAGAATCAAACAAACCATGATAAACACCAGTGATAATATCATAATATATATATATATATATATATATATATATATTGTAAAATATAAAACTACTCCAAAATACAAATCCACATTAAAAGATCTTTGTTTAATTGTATATATTTAATATAGAATATTTTATATGCATATTAGCTAAAACATGTTTTTTTCATTGACGTCATAACCATGTTTTTTCACAGAATAGAACTATTATTACCTGTAATTAAAATGCAATGCATGATGTCAGAATAATAATGTATTAAAAAGTGTTTAAAAAGGGTATTCCTTCATCTCACCTTGTATTTTGCATGGTTTTCTACTTTAATTACCAATTACAAATTAAAACATTTCTATGCAACGTTCAACGATTGCATTTTAAATCCATATCCAACTTCTTCCTTTTCTTTCCAATACACCTCAAATATGAAAAATAAAATAGGTGCAAACTTACCACAGCGGATTCCAAACTGTGACTTGCTTTTGCATCCCTGACATCTGCAGCATGGCCGTCTCCCTGTTTGGAGGATTATACTTTGCAATTTACACAAAGAGATAAACTGATCAGATGAGTTTTTACTTTTTTAATATGCAGATCTCTAACCTAAACAGAGCTCTTTCTAGTGATTTTGCATTAGCTGAAAAGATGCTAAACCAGCGCTTAGTTATCTTCAATCATTCGATCACTGTATGTAAACCTGATGGCAAGTATTTAATCTGCTGAAATCGGTTATTGATAACACTCTTTCCCATGTTGCTATTTTATCAGACTGATTTTAGATATGAAAACAAAGTGTTGGATACGTACTTTTTGAAATGTAATAAGTAAGGTAACTTATTTATAACAAATAAAGCTTCAAAAGGTCCTACAAACATACATTTAAAGGCAGGAAAAACCTCACAACATTTATCACTGTCAAAATGTTGTATAGGTTCCTAAATGTGACTTCAAATATGATTCAAACAGAGCGTGTTATAATCTATACAATAGCTTGTAACGTAATGTAACCTCTTTTTTCAACTCGCTAAAATTACAATTATTATATAATTTAATAACTTAACGGAGGTAAATGCAACTAGTTTCTTTTCATCACTGGCAATACATGTCCAATTTTAATGGTATGAGTCCCAGAATTCCTTTGAATCATTCTTATGAATTGGTGACTTTGGCAGCTTCCACAGAGTGTGTGTGAGGTCTGATAGGATTTGGATAAAGTACAGAGAGAGAGTTGAGGGACTTTCAGGAGCCAGCTCCACACATGGAGACATTGATTCTGCCAGTTGTCCTGATAAACATGAAAAGAGCCAGTCTTAGCTTGTTTGGTTGTGTCAGATAACTCTGCTAGACTTCAAGCTGCATTGTTTTCCCACAGTTACTGTAAATCTGTTCCTGCACTTTGACCCTTTGTACTATCTGACTCTAGATTCACTTTGTTAGCATTTACATTTCCAATGTGTGACATGCAGCAGCTCAGACGTCATGAAATGTAAACAACAGGAGGGAGGTCGAAGTTCCAGACTATAATAATGCTCATGGAGAGGGCCTTTTCCTCTCTTTACCTACACTTTCAGTTCTTTTTATTTCTGCATATCATTTTTGTATTTATTTATTTGTTTTCTTATTTAATTCTCAGATTTATTTAATTTACTGCTTATTATATACATATCCATCTTATTGCACCTTTTTTTCTCCCCTTGATTTTCATATTGATCTGAGTGGATTACGGCATTTCCCCTTATTTGTTATTCCTATAATTTCCATAATTTTTTACTTATACTATATATTTCTTTATGATGGAGAAAAATATAGCTATAAACTAATAAAGAAAATATATAATAAAAAAATATTGTATTTGTATATATAATGTATGTACATAATATATGATGTACATATAAATACCTATATATGTATAAATACAGCTCTGGGAACAATTCCACTGCAAAATGATCAGTTTCTCTGGTTTACTATAGGTATGTGTTTGAGTAAAATACATACTTTTGTTATCCTATAAACTACTGACAACATTTCTCTGAGTTGGAATTCAACATACACTGGAATGGAATGTCTGCTATACATGTAGAAATTGAGATTTAAGAAACATCTGGAGTGTTTTATTTTCCAGAGCTGTATATATATATATACATACATATTTGTATTAATTATATTTTAGCTTTATTATTCCTCCATCACTTGTTATAGCTTTTAATTGTTTTGTTTTTTGGGGGGCTAAATGCAGGTGTTTCTGAAATGTGTTGTATTTTTGGCTTTTATTTATCATGGAAAATCAATAAAGGGATCTACCCAATAAAAAACAATGATGTTTGAAAGAAGTCATTTATTGTTTTCCAGCAGACTGTCAGTTCGCAGATTTGATAGTGAGGTTAAATCTCACATCATCTGCATTCAGCTCGGTCAAAGCCTGGACATGTCACACCGACAGGCTGACTCTGAGTCAGCGCTCCGAGGCGGCTGGTTCACCGTCTAATTCATCACAGAATAATGACCCACCTTTGTCTTCCTGATAGCAGGACGCTGCTCTGCATATGAAAGACAACAGGAGCCACTGATAGGCTTCAAGCTCAGAAGTGTGCTTTGTTTTTTGCTAAGGCCTGTGAGTTAATATTTCTTTAAGACTATTGTTGGTTGATCAGTGGTCAACAGTTTGCAAAACTGCCTGTGTTTGTGTTCAACCCTAATCACATGACCCCCATTAGCCACATTTAAATGAATGGGTGGCTTTGAATATTAAGAAAGATACGGCTCTAATCCTTCTTTAAATTAATTCTTTAAAGCTAAAACATCTGTGCCGTGAGAGATACTGGCAAAAAATGTATATTTATATGCCTTATAATAACAACGTCTACATTAATGACATCTCTTTGGTAAGAATAATAAAACCCCAATACACATTTGAATTTTCTTTATGCCATCTTTAGAATATTAGCCAAAAAAAAGACAAATCATTCATGAGATAGCTCCAAAAATAAATATTATTGAATATCAGTTGTGTATTGCCTGTGACATCTAAATCACAAGCTTGCACACTCATCATACACACAAAGCGTGAGAAGATAGTCCTTTTCAGTGCCTTGCAAATATTAGTATAATAAATAATGATACATACAAACACATACAAATCCGCACAAACAGGGGCATTCTAAAAACAAATATGTCAATAAACAAATAATGATAAGATCTCTATCTGCCATTTTTAATATCAACAGCTTTTTACAGAATGCGTGGGCTAAATGGCACATAAAGTCTATTTTTCTTTTTACTTTTTGTTCATTAATCCACTTAATGTTAACAATCAGGTAAACATAACTAAAATAATAAATACAGAATAATAAGGATTAGTTCATATGATGGAAATAATGGCAATAAAATGTATCAGATGTACTGTAGTGATGGATTGAACTAAATAAATATAGTTTTACATAGTTAGTTTTTACTTTTTGACATATTTGTACTTTACTCGAGTATTTACATTTTAATACCGTATACATCGACTCCGCAACATTTCAGAGACAAATATTAAACTTTTCACTCCACTGCATTTATTTTTAAAACTTACAGTTAATAGTCATTTTGTACTTATAAAAACACTCAATATGCTGATATGGTATAATGCATTACTGTACTACTCTTTTACACAGTATTTCTAGTATCTAAATTGCTCCACATTGACAAACAAAAATACTTAAATGTTCTTACATGTATACAAATAAGATAATATACTAACCATTATAATATGATACTGTGAAAAGATACATTCTGCATAACAAGATTCTTGAAGTGAATGTAGCTGATAATACTTCTGTACTTTATGTTACCGAAATCAATCATTGTGCAGAATGAAAACCTTTTATACTTTAAGTATATTTTGTTTAAGCAATATTGGGAAATCAGGACTTTTACTATTATTTTAACATCATAGTATTTGTACTTGCAAGGATCTGAGTACTTCTTCCAACACTGATCAGATGCCGCCAAATCTCTTCTCCTTTAGGCCCACCTAAATGAACATTTCCTGCTTTTTGGTCGTTCTATATGTCACATATTCAGCAGAACAGAAAAGACAAACAATCACATGTTTGTCATCTTGTTGTTAAGTGGTATCGATGAGGCTAACAACTTTCTTTTGTCTCTCCAAAGATCATTCTGTCATATTTGCCGTTGACCTTGCCTCCACTCTGATGGTGATGAGGTGATAACTGGGGGGGTGGAGGGGCCACTCTGGTCTGTTACCGACCCATCAAAGTAAAACGACACCCCAACATTATCCTGGCTCTACCATGGCCTTCTGGGATTGATCAATATAAAAGGTATCCTGACAGAAGCAGGAGACACAGGTCAGGAGCTCAGTGAAGGAACAACACACACTGACCTCAGAAGTCCATTACAAATCCATTCATTTGCAGAGCTCCATTTATTTACCTGCAACTATGTGGAAAGACTCCAGCAATGGTAAGAAACACTTTGGGATATAGAAGGTTTGATTGTTGGGAACATCAACTTTGTGTAGTGCTTAATTTTTCAAATTCGAATTTGTATGATCTAGTTTAAATAGTAAGCAGTGTCACAGGGATGGGTTTTATTGCACCAGGATGACTCATGTAGGTTGTGTCAGGTAGTGGGCCAATATCAGATTTGCTTCTATTATTGTGCAAACATTTTGGCAGGCAATGCATAAGGCAAATTACAAACCTACTACCTAGGTTGTCTAAAACATTTGACACATTTTGGTTTGGTATAAACAGCCGGAAGAAACACAGTGGCAGTAGAAATAATAACATAATTGATAACGCTATGTGTAAGTTAGAATACAGCATGAGTATAGCAAGAAAGTCATTATGCTGACTGATATTTGGCTGTAAAACAACACAATGCTTTTTTTCTCTCATTCAATTCAATGTAGTGCATGTATTTATTCAGATTCAAGCAGAATATACAAGGCAATTGATTATTTGTATCACTGTCTATATTCAACATGTGCACTGAATGAGTGATGTCTTCTAGAAAGAAGGCCAATAACTATCCAAACATCCCCTGGTTAAGAGCACAAGCATGGTTCAGAACTGAGAAAGAATGAAAAAAGTACAAACATTAAAGATCTTTTCTCTCCTCTTTCCTCAGATGATGCCAGACCTGTGTCCTCCAGTGGCGGCTCCTCTCGCAGCGCAAGTCGCAGGAAGAGAACCAGCTTCTCCAAAGACCACGTGGAGCTCCTGCGGGTCACCTTCGAGACCGACCCGTACCCTGGCATCGGCCTCAGGGAGAGCCTGTCCCAGACCACAGGCCTGCCGGAGTCACGCATCCAGGTACACAGTCCCACGCTGCCTTTTATACAACAGAATATCAGGGGGTTCAAGTGAGATGAAATGAATCGAACTGAGTTGTTTGTGGTCATTAAAGTTGTCAGTTGATCAATGGAATTATCTTTATTTGGGTAATGAGATTAAATGCACACATGCGTATTTTCCACAAGTACACCAGTGGACAGTAGTAAATTTACTCAACTACACTAAAGTAACATTTTAAGGTATTTGTACTTCAATTAATTGTTTGCATGTTTTATACTTTTACTTTATTACAAGATGCACATTTTGCACTTTTACTCCACTGAAGTTTATTTGACAGCTTTAGGTTAGAAGATTCTGAGAAAAAAAAAAGCATACAATAATGTATAAGGTATTGATATAGGTTAAGATAAAACTGTCTTGATTTTTGGTGGAGCTCCCAGCTGTACCCATAGTAAAAAGTAGTTTTGTAAGCTCTCTTGAACTGCTGTTTCTTATCATAAAAAGCCTCTGTGTTCAAATGCATCCTGCATAGCATTGCAGATACCGCTATCCCTCTATCACTTTATTTCTTTATCTTCATAGATGACACAGGCTTTTTTTTATCAGGATCTTGTTTGAGCTAACAGATAAACTGTACATCATGGCTCTGAGAGCTTACACCCCCCCTCTTATACTCCACTGGTGCCCAGAAAATGATTAACAGAACAGAATGTGTTGTGTGTATCTGCCCTGATTTTAATAGAAGCTTGTTTCTTTCCTGTCCAGGTGTGGTTTCAGAACAGAAGAGCTCGCACCCTGAAGGTCAAAGGAGCCAACAAGGCTCTGTGGCAGTCGGATAGCCCGGTCCATGATGCTCTGTCCCCCATTCATGCTGTAGCCAGCAGGGGTCCTGGCTCAGTGCATCTGCCTCCTCACGGCCCTCCGCCTGCCTACCCAACCCAGGTGAAGAAGGAAGTAGATGAATCCTACTACTACGGACAGCATCCTCCGGCATACTCCACCATTGAGGAGCATTTTGGCTCCATGTATGGCCTCCAGCAGGGCAGAGCATTGGGAGGCACCTCCAGCCCACCCTTGAGGGGCTTCTGGTCCCAGCCTGGCAGCCAGTCCTCCCCAGTCCCTTCTCGGTGGTGCCACTCCCCCCAGGAGATGAGAAACTACGGGTCCAGTCAGGCAGCCGCCATGTATCCAGGATCCGCAGAGCAGCAGATGTATATGCCCGGCTCCACCTCCCACTCCTCAACTCCTGACACCCCTGATTCTGGATACTGGGATGCCAGTGTGGAGAGCAGCCCACCGGTGGAGAGTCAGAACTCACAGCTGGAGGATTTGTGTAGCGGAGCTGCTCCAGACGGAACCCTGGGGTCCAAACCTCTGGCCCCTCTGCCTGAGCTGTCCCTGCAGGAGATCCTGGGGGTTCTGGAGGAGGACTGGATGGGAGGAGAGGGACTGGACACTGACACCTCTGGGGACAAAATGTCCTTCTGCTAATGTCTCTGTCACAAGGATTTACAATGGACAAATTGAAATCATATGTAATATTTTGATTCTGGTCATCTGTGATGTGTAAAAAGAAGAAAAAATGATTGAAAATGGGATACACATTTCCAAAATCCTACATGATTTTTTATTTATTCCACACTGACTACAGTTTATTTTGCTTAATGTATTTATTCCATTATTCACCTTTTTATTTTCTCTTATTTAGTACCTGTATTTATGATTCTGTGCACTTTTATACTAATAAATTAGTTGTAATATACCCTTTGTTTGTTTTGTATTTTTTATATCCAATAAATAGCTTGAGGTTAACTTACAACCGTTACTATTTAGCTTAGTCAATGACAGAAAGACAAGAAATCCTCATGTAATGAGACAGATTTAACTGCTATTTAACCGGTAGAAAAGTATGTGATGCGTTACACAACCAGCAGATGGTGACTCTGAGTTGGAAGAAGGATTAGAAGGATTGATTTATTTGTGAATGTGGGAATACATAAAAAAGTCCAAAGACGTTTTTTAGTTCCATATTAAATAATTATCTTCATAAAAATATAACTTTTTTTAATTTTTCTCCTCTTTCCACAGGATGGAATGAACAGCAGGTTATACACTGTCATAGAGAACCGCAGTGACGCGTCATAAAACCCGGGAGTAAACTTCTTCCGGTTCCTTCGTCAAAAACCAATGCAATTTCTCCATAGAATTTTGGAAAATAGCTCGAAATAAGGTCTGTGGTTGACACACATTTCAGAGAGGAGTCACGTTTTGTTCAGCCGGATAATCTCCACATGTCAACCCTACTTTTATAATTTTTGAATCATAAATCTAGTCGCCAGAAGCAAAAATGCTAACGTTATTCTATAGACGAACTACAAGCCAGTACAGCAGCAGGGTCGCACGACTTCAACTTCACGCTAACTTAAGATCGTTTCAACTGACTTGCACTGAAACTGCACTTTGAACACTTTAAATATATTAACATGTATATGTATACCACGTTTATATAGGCCCTTTTTATTTTGTTTTATGTATACATGTCAGACTGGGAAACGATATTTCGATATTTCTGGATGTATAACACATGTAGAATTTTTGACAATAAAGCTGACTTTGACTTTCGCGCTCTTGNAATGAGGGAAGTGCTCTCAGACCTCGAACGGTGTCTCTGCCCCCTAACATTGCTCCGGCCGGCACCTTGCCAACGAAGTTGGACGGGCGGCGGGAGCGGAGTGTTGGAGTGGGAAGAGAAAATCGGGTCGTGTAATGTCGTGTGAACTCGAGTGCGTAGACGTACATCTGGTCTATTTGACTGAGACTGAGAGGAGTTGTCGGTCTCGAATGACGTCACAATCTGAGTGTCACATCATGGACTTACGACGCGTGGACTTAGTCGCAATACTAGTGACTGGATTGGGACTCAGTCGTAATACTAGGGACTTGGGACTGTCACTCAGTCGTAATTACGTCAGGACTTGGGACTGTACTCAGTCGTAATACTCTAGGACTTGGATGACTCAGTCGGTAATCTACTCAGGAGCCTTGGACGACTCAGTCGTTAATACTTTTCAGGACTTTGGACGGGGACTCAGGGTCGTAATACCTCAGGCTGCCGGACGGGACTCAACGTCGTAATACTCAGACTTGGCGACTGTACTCAGTCGGTAATACTCAGGACTTGGCGACGGGGACTCCAGTACGTAATACTCAGGACTTGGTGACTGTACTCAGTCGTATACTCAGGACCTTGGGACTCAGTCGTAATACTCAGGACTTGGGACTCAGTGGGTAATACTCAGGACTTGGGACGCGGACTCAGTCAGAATTACTTCAGGGACTTGGACTGTACTCAGTTCGTATACTCAGGACTTGGGACTCAGTCGTAATACTAGGACTTGGGACTGTCGAAACACTAAAGAGTGACTGTGGTGGTCCCCTGTGTATACATGACATATTTCTGTAATGTTTCACGTAAAACGTTCTATCCGACTGAAATTCTCAGGACTTGGACCTTTAGTCTCTTGTACTCAGTCGAAATACTCAGGGACGTGACCTTACTGCAGTCGTAATCCTTCAGGAGTGCGGGCCTCTACGACCTACACCAAACGACCCTATCCAATCCCAATACTCATCCATTGACTCCAGGAGTGGCGCCCCGGGTCGTCGAGACCTGGACCCAGGTCCCGACGACCTGCCCGAAAAAAGGGGGACGGCGAACGCAACTTTTAACAAGCGGGGGAGGTCGTTCCCAGTCGGTCCGGAACCACTTCGTCGAAAGGGAGGAACTTCTAGAAAAAACGAAAAAGGGGTCTTTTCTCATAAAGTTCTTAGGTCTTTGCGCACCGCTTGTGGGGAATACCTTGGGGGGTTCTCTTCATGTGTCTTTTTCTTGCGGAGCGACACCCCGGACGGGCTTTTGGGTTCTTCAAGGTGTAGGAGGGCGTCGCCCCCCCTGGTTCTCTGTTGGAAAAAAAATTAAGTTCTTAAAAGGGGTTATTGTTGACGAACTAGGTCGTTTTGGTCTGCCATAGATGTTAGCAAAACATTCAAACAAATTATCTAAGTTTAGGAACCTAAACTTGTCAATTTTTAGACATCGTCGCCCGGGTTTTCCAAAACTTGTGCTGGGACTTAGACTGAGCAGACGAAAAGGAAGGAACCGGGCGCTTAGGTTAGTTGGTGTTGGTGTGTGGTTGTGTGTGTTGGTTTGGTCGTGTGGTGTTGTGTGTGTGTGTTTGTGTTAGTTGTGTGTGTGCTGTTGTTTGTGTTGGTGTTTGTTCGTGTTGTGTCCCGATAATTGCGACCTCAAATTTAATATTTGAACAGAAAAAAAATTAAAATTAAAGGTTTAATTAAAAAAATTAATATATAATAAAAATAAAATTTAGCTTGTTGGTCTAGGACTTAGTCCTTATCCTAAAAACAATACGTCGCTAAGTGCCAACAGGAGATCCTCACTTCCTTGCAATGCTCAGTCTTTAGGCTAAAGTTTATTTTCTTCATATTAAACTAAAAAACCAGGGTTTATTTCCAGAAGTTCGTTATAAAAAATTTTCTTATCCGTCTTGCACGTCTCCAGCTGGAGTCGGCGGATAAAGAGCGGAGCAGGCAGACACAGCTAGAGGTGCGGAAACTAGAAATTGAGGCAGATAAGGAAGTCCGGATCCGGATACGTCAGCTGGAGCTAGACTCTCAACTGCGCGCATCCGGTGCTTTTGACTCTGCCGGAAGAAACTTGCCATTTCCACCTCCTCCACCTGCCTTTGACATGAGTAACAATATTTCGCTAGTGCCAACATTCTGTGAGACTGAGGTGGATGCCTATTTTGGTGCCTTCGAGCGCATTGCTACAGCATTGCGGTGGCCGGTTGAAGTTTGGGCTCTGATGGTAACGTGCAACTTATATGGAAAAGCTCAGGAAGCAGTTGCGGCTCTCAGGTTAGAGGACAGCCTGCAGTATGACTCAGTAAAGGTTGCCATCCTCAGAGTGTACAAATTAGTTCCTGAAGCTTACCGGCAAAAGTTTAGACACTATAGGAAGAGTCCTGATCAGGGGTGGACTGGCCATCTGGCATACCGGGCATCGTCCCGGTGGGCCGTTGACCCAATGTGGGCCGGTCCGCAATGTTTTTTTTTTCTTTTCTTTTTTCCCCCTCTAAATTCCCTCCAATTGGGCCGGCCAATTGGCTACAGAGGGCTAGCAGTGTGTTGCCAGCATCGACACATATTATTGGTCTATTGTTTGTCATTGTCAATCAATCATGGGCTGACAGGCTCAGAGAGCCCTGACAGTGCTGTCAATCACAACACATGCTCGGCACCCAAGGTTCCACACACTGTTAAAGGGGTTAGCATAGTTATTTAAGTAGACCATAATTGAAAATAAATTAGTATAATGCGTTATTGATATTCCACTGGTTCTCACACCATTTCAGGGACTTTATCACTGCATTAGAACAGGCCACCCAAAGGTACTTAGTAGGAACTTTTGAGTGATGAAATTCTACAACTGTTGTAACTGACCAAAATCTTCTCCCAGAAATGACTGTCTAGAATGGTGTACCCCAGAGTAGAACGCCACCCCGTATACAGATGTTGATGACAATGATGAGTTAGTTTGAATGATGTAGAATGACATGGATGTTCGGAGATGAGATTGTTCAATGAATGTCCAGCCGATGTGATTCTTCACATGATGAAATCATGTGAAGAATGAGCAAAATAAAATGCTAAAATGGAGTGAATCCATTTCAATTTATTTTACACTATTCCAAGATAGTATATTTTTATACTTCCAATTTATTTTTAGACTATTCCAAGATAGTTTATTTTATTTGACTTTATTATTTTATACTATTCTAATATGGTAGATTTCATGTTGTATAAATCATTGCTATTCTAAAATGGTTTGTTTCTTTTCACTTTGTAAAAACAAGTGCCT